AAGTTGGAATTAAGATTGCCTGGAGAAATTTCAAGAACCTTAGGTATGCAAATGATACCACTCTAATGGCAGAAAGTGAAGAGGAACTAGAGAGACTCTTGATGCGGGTGAAAGAGGAGAGCACAAAAGTTGGCTTGAAACTCAACATTAAGAAAACTAAGATCATGGCATCCAGTTCTCTCACTTCCTGGCAAATAGATGGGGAAGAAATGGAGGTAGTGACAGATTGTATTTTCCTGAGCTCCAAGATCACCACAGACGGGGACTGTAGCCAGAAAATTAAAATATGCTTGCTCCTGGGGAGGAAAGCTATGGCAAATCTGGACAGCATACTAAAAAGCAGAGACATCACCCTGCCAACAAAAGTGTGTATAGTCGAGGCTATGTTTTTTCCAGTTTCAATGTATGGCTGTGAAAGTTGGACCATAAGGAAGGCTGAGTGCTGAAGAATCGAGGCCTTTGAATTGTGGTGCTGGAGGAGACTCCTGCGAGTCCCTTGGACCGCAAGGTGATCAAACCGGTCAGTCCTAGAGGAGATCAACCCTGACTGCTCTTTAGAAGGCCAGATACTGAAGATGAAACTCAAATACTTTGGCCACCTAATGAGAAGGAAGGACTCATTGGAGAAGAACCTAATGCTGGGAACAATAGATGGCAAAATAAGAAGGGGACAGCAGAGAATGAGGTGGCTAGATGGAGTCACTGAAGCAGTTGATGTGAGCTTAGGTGGACTCCAGGTGGAGGGCAGGAGAGCATGGAGAAATATTATCCATGGGGTCATGATGGTTCGGAGATGACTTTGCTAAACAACAACAACATACAGAGGTCTCACTCCCCTTATCTACTTCAGCCTAACCTTTGAGCCAGGCAATAATTATTAGCTTAAATGTTGCTGTCAGACACAGTGGGCCTATCCTGCAAATGTCCTTCTCTAAATTCTCTAATATTGGATTGCCACATAGTGATTAGAGCAGTGGTGGGTAATATGGGACCCTCCAGATGTTGTTGGGCTGCAAAGTCCCATTGGGCTTAGCTAGCATAGCCAGTGGTGAGCCATGATAGGAACTGAAGCCTATGCCTGCAATAGGGTGACACACTAGGCCCAGGGCACCTGGTTCAAATTGCTACACAACACACAGTCAGTTTCTCCTAATCCAGCCTACCTCATGGCACTGTTGTGAAATTAAATTGGGTGATATAACAAAGGATGTTTCTTTTCTAACATGGCATTCCACTGTACTTTTCACCTTTTAGAATGTAAACTGAATTTGTATTGATTGTATGTTTGCACTGTTCTTAGCAGGATGTAACTATTTAGCAAAGAAACAGTGTTGATGACGATGAAAAATGGAATTGAAGCCAAAGCCACGATTAAGCTGTGTGCTTATTCCAGAAACAACTAGAAGAATTAACAGCTCAACCCACTCCTGGTCTAAAATGAGCATCTTTCTGTGGATGCACTTTTCCTTTGTATAAACACTGCTCACAGAGCCAGCGTACCTTTTAGCTCTCTCTGTCCCTGTAATGTATAAAATGTGAAAGGAATATGGAAAGTTCTGTCTTAGGTAATCCGGGAAAAACAGCAACTGTAATCTATAGCCTAATTTTAGAGATTCTTGAAGTGCGATACAGAAGGGCCCAAGCAGTAAATTAAAATGATCTGCCAGCTATGAGAGGAGCTGATCTTGGACAAGAGTGGACAGAAGGGAGATCACCTACCAGAATGGCCAGTGGCAGGAATGCTAAGAATTGGAATGGAATGGAAGTGCCATCTGGAGTTCTACTTTCTGTCCACCCCTAACCTAGGACACCCAGTGAGGCATTCTGATCTAACTAGTTTTTTTTCCTGGTCCAGCAAGTGCTTATTTGAAAGTTGCCAGGGTGTGGGAACCTTTGCCCAGTGGGAGGATGTTTGTTGTGATTGGTCAGTGGTGTGGGAAAGCAACCTGCCTAGGTTCACACCCACTTTTATTACTAATAACACACATCTTCCAGAGTTAAACACTAGTACAGATAGAGAACTGGAGCTGTGCATTGGGAAGACATTGCTGATATTAATTCCTGCTTCCAGGGAAGCATGTGGGGATAAAATAAAGGAGAGTAGAGAGAGGCCACACTAAAATATGTGCTCAGTTAGAGTTTAGGGGTAAGAGGAAATAGCTGCCTTCCCCAGCTGAGTGCATGATAGCCCAACTTGCAACCTCATAAATAATAGGGCCCTCCCCGCACACACAGGTGGGAAAGCTAGCTGGGGTGGCAACAGGCAAATGACCATGACTATTTCCAGAGCTATTATCTTTCACATTTAAAGTATGAGTTCTCCATCACTGCATGCATTTAAGTGGATGCTAAACAACCACTTCTCAGGATACTTTAGTTGCATCCTACACTAAACAGAAGGCTAGACGCCGAGGTGGCATTCAGTTCAGTGAAAAACTCAAGCTGTTGTGGAAGAAGAATAACACAACCGTGCACTACATATACTTTGGCTCTCTCTGTCCCAGTAAATGTATTTCCTTTTGCGTTTGCTGTTTTCATCATTTTGGGTGGCACTGGGTGTGTCTCTCTGCTAGCCAGTTATATTCTTACTGAAATCATGCTTAAGTGAAACCTTTATAGAAGTCAATACTGGAAATATTCTTACTGATCCAGTTTCCCCACTTCTTTCACCATAGGAAACCCTTGGCAGTTCACCAAAGATGTTCTACATAGTGAGACAGCTCATTGTTATATATAATTCTCAGACATGACACTGACAGAAATAATTACATTTGCACCCAAAGAATATGGTTATCTTTTTATGATCCACCCTGCCCCATCACCAGAAAACCCTCTGCACTGCTATCAAACAGTGCAGTGCTTCTAAGGAGAAAGGTACAATGGTTTGCATAATGGACAGCAAATGTACAGTGTGCCTTGCTGGAGAGCTGAAGCCTTCATATGATGTGTCAATAATAGCCACTTGGGCGCATGGTATGCAAAAGACACCAGATCTCCAACTTAGTTCATGGCAAAGAATGAAACTTTTGATTGAAAATCAGTGATATGCTGAAGTGGGTTTTAATTTTGCTTGTGGTGGGACACTAACCTGTTTGATTACAGTAGTCATGAGCTAAATCTGAATTTATGGAATATTGGAGCTCTGCACAACTTGGTGAAATGAATGGAGGACCTGTGGAGTTACACTACCTTTTCTGTGTTGAGCATTTGTTAAATATTATTTCTCCCCATTTATAGGGCAAGCCTGGCTGTGTGAGCAAATAAGACTGGATTGCTTTGGTGGCAATGTTTGTAGTCCCTATTTTGTTGTACTGTTTCATGTTTTCCTTTTCTTAGTGACTTCAGCACTCTAGTCCAGAAAGGCAATAAAAACGTTGACATAATTAAGCAATAAAATGAATCTATGTTCAGTTTCAATATTCTGCAAAGGATCTTGCAACACAGGAGGCTGGATGATAATGGATCAGACCATTGGTCTCCACCCAGAAGTCTCAGCAGACTCAGCTTCTGCCTCAGAAGTCAGAAGTGTCTGTCCCTCATGAATCAACAAGAATAGTTACATTTTGCTTTTATAAAAATACTTATAGATGCGCAAATGCACAGGCACACAAACACATAGAAAAAGCAGCATTCTGGGTTATACCAAACATCTGTCTAATCCTGCATTCTGGGGCAACTAGATGCCCCAGTGGGAAGCTCACAGGCAGGACATGAATGCAGTAGCACCCTGCTGCTTGTGTTCTCCTGCAAGTGCTATTTAGAGGTCTCTCTGTGTGTGTGCTCGCGCGTGCACATTTGTATAATAGAGACACACTAACATATTTCCAGAGAAAATGTCCTCCAGATTCAGAGGAAAGTTTCATTTGAAGTCTCCTTCGTTATACTTTTTCTTAAATTCAGGAAACACCTTTGCTTTTGCATCAAAGACAACAAAAAACTTGGCACTCATCTTAAAAGTTCATTTTAAAAAACATCTCTGTGTTAAAGTTCTTGAATAATTGCCTTTGTAAAAAAATAAATAAAAACCCTATAATAATTCTGAATTCCTTTTGGGATTAGATAGGACAGCTTTCAGCAGTAATACTAAGAGGTTGTACTTGTACTAAGCAGAAAGTATTTATTCCAGCAATATTATTTTTTCTGTTGTCAAAATAATTAAATCATATGATGGCTTTATGTTTATATCAGAGCAAATCTTTGAGGAGTGAGAAGATAGCTGAGTGCATAGAGGTGGAGGCAAAAGACCTCTTTCCAAGAACCAAGCTCTCCTTAACAATTGGCTTATTTCATTCAGGCTACTTTTCTATAAAGTCTCATTTTAGAATGACCTTTACATGTGCAATATGATGAATTTTTCATTTTATGTGATTGCAAAGATGTTATGATCAAAGGGTAAAATAAACATCACCTTTTGCCAGTTTTAGAAGAAAAAACCGAGAAAATGTTTTTAACAGTATGGTAGCATGCAGCTCTTACTGAAGATGTGGTGTCTATATTCAGAAAAAATACCGTTTTAAATTCACATATGCAGCAAAACCCTGGTGGAACATAAATAAGGATCAATTTTTATACAGTTCAACACAGTAAAACATTATATAGGCCTAACCCTCTCTCAATCTAAGGGAGAGATACAATTCCTCTCTGCTGATAGAACGTAAACTATATTTATGTTTGTGGGTATGTATATATTACAATAAATTATGCAGCAAAACACATTGGTGAACACTTCAGGTTTCCAAAGCATTTCCAGCAGAGGTGGTAAATCTTTATATTCCTTTAGAAAGAACAACAAAAAATACTAAACAAACAAAAAAATCTATGGGAATTTTAAAGATGGCTGTATAAGGCTCAAATATTCAGACATTTATAGCAGTATGAATAATATCCTTATTATTAGTTTGTTTATTTTTAAGTGAATTTTCATTATTTTTAAAATGACAATTTGTGTGTTCTCCATTGTGTTCACTGGTGTCAGGTACAGAAAATAGTTTTCTGCTTACCATTCTCAGAAAGATGAAATTTATCATTGTGCCAAAAATACCCTGGAAAGCAAAGAAATGTTATTAGTTATTATGCCCTTATCCATGGGGATTCTAACTCACAAACATAGTGGATCAGCAGCTACACAGAAATGAAACAAATCAATGCCTAAAAATACAAAACCAAACTTTTACCATTATGTCAGAAATGTCAGTCCCGATTTAGGCAGGCCTGGTCTAATTCTGAGGGCAGTGAGTGTCTCTCAGAGTAATCAGATAAATTAGGTAAAGCTAAGCCTTCCATGTTTCTCTGTTTTCCATTATATTCCCTGCCTATGGAGTAGAACCTGTACATTTTGTACACAAATTGACTGGCAGAAAGCAAGTCATTCTCATGCAAGAATCCATTTTGGCAGCTCTGAACAATATGAAGCTGCCATTTTATTAACTGAATCATATTTTCAGTAGATTCACAATACAAATATCTGGTATGGTGAGAAGTGTATACACCTGCAAAATCCAGATTCAGTCCTTGCTTAACTATGGGTGGTCTCTTAGCAAGCTGACATCTATCAAGCTCAGGGTAGTTGTAAGCCCAACACAGTTACTCCAGGCACTCTTGCACTCTTCTCCATGTGTGTTCACTACTAAACCCAGTAAAGATAGGTGGCTCCTTGCCTGTGCCAGATTTAGCTCATCATGTTGCACAGAATGAGGAATTAAAACCTTTGAATCACTCATGAATCAGAAAGGGTGTATGCACACACTTCCCAGACACTATCTGGCATGCAACTGGAACTTATGCTACAATTGAATGAAGGTATTAAGGGTATTCTAAGCACGTTCATGTACTTTCAGGCTAGTGGGAAACTGGGATTATCAGGGTCTCCACTTGTGGAGACATTCAAAAGCACCTGCAACTGAAGGTGCTCAGAATCTCCTTTCATGCATTCACACTGAGCACACAAATGCTGGGTGGAGGGAACAGAGAGAGAACTATATGGGGATGTGGGAGTCAGGACCAGCACCTGCACAAGTGGTGTCCTCATTCACACCCCAGGCATGAGTGGCACTCTTACGTGAACATCTTACAGGATTTGCAGTGGCTTAGACCGATTTCCAGCTGACACTGAGCAGTAACAAAGGGGCAAGTCAGACAACAGAGTAGGAACTTTTAGTTGAAGAGAAGCCTACCTTGGAGTCAAAGGAAAGATCCCACTGTAGCCACTGTCTGTGGGCCAAATGATACATTAAATTAACTGCCTTGCATATCGCTAAGACTCAACTTTTTATTCTTGTGTAAGAATGCATGGTCCCATCTTGGATCAGGAGATGCTTTGTGAGGTGAGGATTAAATATTGGTCATTCATTATTTCCATCTCCATGGAGAAAGGTGTTAAAGGGCAGGAAGGGGAGGCTCCATTGGTATTTTTGAGAACTCTTTTTTCTATACTCCATGCTAGGAGGACAGACTTATGGGAAGTCAATGCTGCTGCAGGTTAATCCTCCCCCCCCCACCCCCCGCTGTGTTGTGGTCCCAGCCCGCATTAGGCACTCACGCTTACACAAGGAGAAAAAGAGCAAGTCCAGCCATAGTTGCATGTACTGCAATTAGTGTATTGTGCAGCTCAGCTGTAATTGCAGCTTATTTTCTAGGCTTGCCCATGTAGCTGTCTGTTTCTTTTTGCCCTAGTTCCTTTCTGAGTACTGACCTAATAGATCAATCAGTATGTTCTAGGGATGGCTATTATAGGTTCAGGTCTTGCTTGGTTTCTCTGTGCTTCTTACTAAAGAAAGATCAGGGCTTATTCGCCATCCACATGCTTTGCATGCAAATGTGAACTGGCATGTTCAGTCCAGAAAACAAAAACGAACAAAGAAAACGCACTCCAGGAAGCAGTTAAAATACCTCTGCCCACCCCACCCCCCAAAAGATGCTGCCAGTCAGAACAGTGCTGGCAACTAGTATCATATCAATCTCCTAAACCCACAAACTCAGTTTGTACAAAATGATTGTTTAGACCTGAGGGGTCATGACCACTGTCAGCAAGCGAACATGTTGGCTCCTGCCCTCTTCTGCTTTGCAAAACAACCCCAAAAATGCTGGCCCAAAGCTTTAACACAGAGCTGCTTGTTGGGTAATAACTCAGTTGGGTTAAAATTCTGAATTGTTGCTCTGCCAGCAACCCAGAGTACTGAGTTTGGATATTATGGCATAGTGTTGTTTCACAAAGTGCAAGTGGGTAAACAGGCAGGAAGCAGCATACTTGCTCATCCCTGTGTAGTCATGACTAACCTATGGCTTGAAAAGCTGATGGGAGTCATGACATCCAATCTGGTTCAGTGTCCCAGCACCTTGGTTCTGAGGAAAGGAAAAAATCGTGCTGTCTAGCTAACAGTTGTTAGGAAGTTATGTGGCCTTCCACACCCGTATCACATTGCATCACCCAGGAGATGGTGCTGGGGTAGAAAACAACCGTGCCCTTCACTCATCCAGTGTGATGTCACTGTTTCAAAATGTGATTGATCCAGTATGCACGCTAAAGCATCACATCAAAGCATCAACCATACTACACTGGAGACAACAGGAGATATTAAAAAACAAACATGTGATCAAAATCAGTGAAAAATTCCATCTGGTATTTCAGGGGTTGCAAGCAGCATCCTGTCTGACCTGACTGGCGAAATTCTGTGTGATAGATTTCTTTGGTGTTTGACATCCATAGAATCAGTAATGCAGAAATGCCTCATAAGACAACAGTTACAGTGCAGCTCCACCATCATGTTTCTAGTTGTGGTTTCCCAAAAACAGCTTGTTAATGCTACATTTGGTCTGATTATATCTATTATATTAAGATTTCCTTTTGACCCTTCCATACTAGCATGGTATCACTTAATGCTACAGACTCACTAGATCCTATAGGGTCACATTTTTTCATCATACTTCCTGTATCAATAAACACATCCAAAAATTCTTTTTTAATCACCAGTTCCTGAAGAGGGCAGCACGTTCTAGATATTATTGAATCATAATCTAATACATAACAGTCTGGCTTTACTGTATTGCAAGGAGGAGAATGAAGGGGAGATGTGTGTGTGTGTGCATGTGTGTGTAGATATTTTGTGTAGCAGTAAAAATAGCTCACTCTCTTGGCAGTTACAAGCCAAGGTCACAACTGCATCCCATTATTAAAAGGAACATTTAAATAAGGCACCTGTAGTAATGTATTTAGCAAAGAGAACAACAAAATATCAACAAAAAGTAGCACTTCTGCAAGAAATAGTTTTTATCTTTAATACCGGAGATAACTTTTTCGTATTGGCAGTGCATAGACTGTCAAAAACTTCTAAAGGGGTTAGATTTAATTATCTCAGTCCTTGCACATTTCATCTCGATTGCTATGGCAACATGCAGTTGCCTCAGCAGCAATGCACACTTTAATCAGATATTTCCTCACTCATTTCTCTGTGCACCACAGCAATGCAATGAAATTTATAGCCAAGTCTCGATACTTGTCGCAGCACCTCATAGGAATGGACAGCATCCCTTCGTCCCTTGTTCCTGCCATTCCAAATGTGCACACAGGTAAATGTACAGACAATGATGAACACAGCCACCTCCACAAATATTTTCAGAGAATTTGGCACCTGGGTGACATGCAGACTGCAGGAAATGATAAGTATGTGTACTTTAAATGCATTTCTACTTCACTGATTTTTTAGGCTGTTTCCTTTACCACTCCCTCTTTACAAGGCATCCAAGCCACTTAGTCAACAGCCCAACCCTACAAGCTAATGGGCAGTTCCTCTGGTTTCTGCAGGAACTCTATTTAAGTGTTGAGAACAGAAAACATAATAACTAGCTAGACAATATCATTTGTTCCATTTTCACCCCTCCCCAAAAAGCTTTTTGTTTGATTACTCATCCCTTGATTAGACACCTCTCAGAGGATGACACGGCCTCTTTCAACTGCCTGACTGAGAAATCAGGGACAAATGCTAAAACACAAATAATTAGGGGCAGCAAACCAACAGCAGGAGTGCAATTCAAAAGCAGACAATGTGATCATTCAGACAACTACAAAATGTTCATAAAGTCTGATTATAGGAATGTGTGGCATTCTCAAAGTATGAGAAATGTATGAATTGGAGAAAAAATTGCAAGCAATTGAGCATGAAATAAATGGGATGTTTATGTTTCACACACGAATATAGACAGACAGACAGACGTGTGTGTGTGTGTGTGTGTGTGTGTGTGTGTGTGTGTAAATATCTTCTGATAATAGCATCTATGCTCTTTTGTCTTACTGTTTTTGTGGACGTTAGCAGGTTAGATTGTTCAGTTCCCAGAATTAACACCATGTTGTGCCTCCAGTGATAATTTAGGCCATTCAGTTCTTTGTATACCAGTTGTTCAAAGACCAGTAACACTGTGTATGGTATCAGAATATCACTACACAAAATGATATCCTTTTTGATGTAATTATTCTAACTTCTGCTAGCGATTATCATGATGCCTGATGATGCTAAGTTTGCTCAGTGGAGTAACACACACAGTGCTATAACACTATGTTAGAATTTCCACTGAAAGTTGGTTGTGTGTAGGACGAACCTGATAAGGAAGCATTATGAGATTAAAATTAAATTATATATAAAACTATTCAGGTGTCTAGATATTCCCAAGATCAACTGCTGCATCCTGAATTAAATGATAGGTGATGGTAATTTGGCTTCTTATTGCCTTGTAGCTTTTTGGGATGTGGAGCTAGCAACATAATCCCGCCGCATGATATGCATGCACAAACATATACAAGGTATGGACTGGCCAATGTTTAAGAACTAAGGGGGAAAGTAGATGTTACATTGGAGATATTTAATTGAATCAGATGTGGCAGAGAACCAGACTTACAGCCATGCAGTAAAGCGGGTGGGCAGTCTAGTCTTTTCCACTCTCCCCTCAAGCTGCTATTAGCCATGGAGAAGGAAACATACGTACCATCACCTAATCTGCCTGTGTGCAACCCTGGGGAAGACAATAGCAACTCCTAGTGATATTGGGATTG